GTACAAACGAACAAGCAGTCAGGCGATCAGACAGCGAGCGAGGTAAATAAAATGAAATGTGGCAAAGAATGTTTTAAATGGAAATAATTTTTTGCATTTGATTCGAAAATTTGATATGAACTTGGCATGTTGGCATGTTGTTGCTGCTTGCCGTCGTCATGTCGCAAATAGTTGCAGTTGCAGGCGAACGCGCAGACAACGCGCAGTTGCCGTAACCGCATAATAAATGTTTTACTTAAGATATAAAACTTGATTGGAATAGTTTCGGTGAGCGTGGACCGTCCGTCCGCTCTTCCACCGCACAGCCTTTCCGCTTTAATCGTTGCGAGCAGTTGTAAGAAATACTTGATTGAGTATGAGTCCTAATTACTAAATTGCAGAAATATTAAAGTCCAATATTCTGTAATGACTTTAAAGTCATATTTATGCCTTGTAACGGTAATCAGATCTTCTGCCAAACGCCGATGTTGGTATTGAAGTGGGTTTTGAATTGCCTAACTGCTCTATCGATTGCCTTAACATATTTTGTGGTTAGATTTATATTATTTATATGGCTAATGGACATAACGGCTTGCTATTTAACAGTAAAGAGGTTGAACTTGCTTACAGAGACCATGCTCTGTATTAATTTTTCTTAATATCGAGAACTTTGATTTTCCTTGAAGAAATTGCGGCATTTTCCAAAGCGTATCTATAGGTGGAGAATCATTTCCGAGTGCTTGAAAACACATGTATTTTTCTGTAATTACGCTTAATATCGAATCTAGCTAACCTATCTAGGCCTTAGTTTTCTATCTCAGTGAAAGATAACTTCTTTTAGAATATGGTATATCAGATTCGTAGGCTCAGATATGTAATATGCTACTTACATGTATGATATTCCTGAATCAGTTCTTTTCTCTGTGACTTTCTGTTCACATGCCACTTTTTCCTTATATTATCAAAAGGACGCTAAATAAATATAAGATTTTACGGACGGGAGGTGCATAATGATTTCTTCTTCGTGTTTCTGGCTAAGCCCAACATTGTATGGCAATTATTTTCTTTCTCTGTCTAGGCTATTAGATACGTGCAAGAGAACTACTGAAGAAATCAAATCATTCCCATTATCGAATTCTTTCGAGATGATCCGCTGGGCATAGTTGAAGAAGTCATATGAAATTGTTCGAACAATGATTTTTGATTAGAACTTTTGCTTAGTATTGGCAAAAACATCTATAGCATTTCAATGTACCGCTCAATGATCACTGTTACAGTAGGGTCTCTTTGTTCCTCAAAAAATTCACTATAAATAAAGTTTTTGTTTTCAAAGTCACCAATTGCTACTTTTGTGTAAGCTGAAGGCTTTGATACTTCAATTTATACTTAGCGTAACTCCAGTACTTACGGTTTTTCATTGGAAAATATGACTAATTTAAGAGAAAAATATTTGGAGAAGCTGTTAGACTTGAAGAGATTTCACTAAGAAAAGACAAAAATAAACTTAAATAAATTTTGCTAATTTTGCTTTTGAGGATGTAAAATTCTTTACATATCTTCTACCACGGCCACTTCTTTTGGCGGAATATATTATTTTTGAGATGATCTGTGAATTGAGGACCACTAAACCATAGCACTATGTGACACCTCACAAGAAAAATACTCGCTTTAAATTGCACCTCCCAGCAACAAATTCTTGAAATTTCGGAGACCCTATAAAGTAAATATATAAGTGATCAGCATGGCGAACTGAGTCGATCTGTATATATGCGAACTAGTCTCTCAGTTTTTTGATATCTGTCTGAAATTTTTTTACTGTCACGAAATTTGGCATGGATTATTTTCCAAGCCAACGCTAAAATATCGGATGTAATTTTTCAGATCGAATCACTATAGTATATAGCTGTCATATATAATGAACGTTGAACTTAAGTTTTGATATGAAAAACTTATTTATTTGACAATATATCTTTACGATATTTAACAAAAATTATTGCTCAAGGCAACGTTACAAAATACGAAGACATTTTCCAGATCGGACTACTATATGATATAGCTGTTATACAAATTGAAGTTCTTGTATGTAAACTTCTTTATATGTGAAGCGTATACCAGCTTCGATACAACCGACGTTAGCGTTCTTTTTTGTTTCTATTAAGTTCTGTTTTTTTTTTCGAGGATTCTTACAACCTAATTCTTTTTAAGGATCGTTGTAATGAGCGCGTACTCCATATATCTAGATAAATTCGATCATGATGACTTTGTTTGGCAAGCAAACTTGCTACAAATCCCTCCCAACATCATTCAGTTGCAAATCGCTGCTTGATGAACTCACAAGAGCAGAGCCAGCTACTATGACATCATTACGCGTTTATTCATAGCATTTATCTCGTATCTAATCAAAAAATTTGCAAATTCTAACCAATTTGTGGAAATATATTTAGCCATTAAGCAAAAAAGCAAAGAAGAAATACACAAAATAGTTTCACATCAAATGTACGCCCATTGAATTTAAATTTGCTGCAGTTGCCGGGCTGGCTGTGTTGTCGCTGTTGCTGTGTATGTGTGTGGCTGTAGCTGAAGCTGTTGCTGCTGTCACGCGTGTTACCCGTGGCAACAATGTATGCGCCAACAATAGCAAGCAAATCAAAGAGAGCAACAGTCAATAAAATAACAGCTCCAACGCAAATAACAACAACAACGGTGTGAGCAACAAAAGCTACAACTCAATGCAATTCGTATTTTATTGCTTTCACAAACACACAGCACTTTGGTTGTGTGTGTGTGTGTGTGCATTTTTCGTTTCTTCCAATTTTTTTCACCTTATTCTCTTATTTGTTATTCGTATTTATTATTTTCTATTTTCTTGTTGTTTTTTTATTCCTTTTGCAATCAATGCTGTTGCACCAATAACTGCTTGCTTTTCACTATCTCTCTGCCTGGACGCATGCACATTTCTCCTGTTGCTGTGGCTGGCTGCTGTGCAACATGCCTTCACCAGCATCTCATCTGTCCGCGTTGCACGTTGCACGCCCCCTTTTAACACACCGCAGCAGCAGGAGGATGTGAAAAAATCTCAGCACAGCAACGTGCAACAGCAAAGGTGAAACTTGCCACAGAAGCTGGCAAAAGAACTTGCAACAGCGCCGTGCACAAACTGCATATTTTTTATGTATATATGTGTGTGTGCGTGTGAGTGCAATAAGAAGTGTTGCATGCGATTGTGTGTTGCAAGTATAAATAAATACATGCACATACCTACGAGTCGTAATATATGTGTATAACTGCATATAGATAGCCATTTCAGACAAGTAGAACTCGTTTCGTGAATTGACCATTTGTTTGGCTGCAACAGCAGCAGGCCAAACTTCGACGTTGATGAATCAGTGTCGTGTGTAAAGAATATTTGCGGAAGGGATGAAAGAGGTCAGTTTCAGTTCTGGGTTGCGAATGCTACATAACATTACTTTTTAGTCAAAGCTGCACTTTATACCCATAATATCCACTGATATTACCAGATATCTATATTATGTTGATTTATATTGTTTTGTAACTTATTATTGGAATTTTATACGGATTTGATTTGATTAGTTCTGCAATACCTAACACTGGAAGAATTACAGATATGTATGTGCTTTTTGATAAAGTCTACTTTCAGATATACATTTTATCCGCCTTAAAAGTCTTTGGTCTTCACAGCTTTGGAGACAAAGATTGCTTAATCGTATGCTCTATGGAAAACTATGGTTAAAATCCATATGACGGCTTAAATAACCATATTTCGTTGAGTACCTATCTCTAAATGACCTTCATAAATCACAGAATTAAAGACTGAGGTCATGTAAAAATCTTTGAACATATGTAAATTTCTAGCTGTATTTAATACTAAAAAATCTCAGCTTTTTCGTTATTAAGAAAAGCCATCTCTTTCAGGGAAAAATATCCGACTACTACCAACAAAACTTTAAACTTTAAAACTTACACCTTTGCTAGATAGCTGACTGAGTCTCTCCTCTGTTCAAACCGACATTTGGTATTCTGCTGGGGAATGACCGTTATTTCAAAAAAAAAAAAAAAATTGATCGAACCTGCTTTTGTGATAACTAATTACAATACTACGGTGGGCGTCTTTCCATAGCCTAATATACCCTGCTAAACCCAATTTGCGTTCTAGTGCTGCATCTATGGATCTCCCGTGATCTCGGCAAGCACTGGTCAACAACAAAAACTTTTGCGGCTGCGAATCGTAAGCTCACTAGGTCCTCTGAACTAGTTGCTCTGAGCAACGTCAGTCTCGCCGCAAATTGTAGGTGTTCTGACTGGGTAATAAGTCCACGCGCGATGCTGCTAAATATTTTGTAGGACGCTCAAATTACCTTGGTATTCTATAAACTATACCCTTTTAAAATGCAACAGGTATCTAAAGTGATTTTCTGAGGTCGACTGGAGGCTCCATAATTACCAATTTCGTGAGGACGTGATATTACAGTTTTCATACGAGAAAAAGCCGAAAAAAGGCGCACAAACGATAATTCTGAGTCAAATGATAACCTAGCTACGATGTACTGGATTCATCAAGTGCTTGTAAAAACCGGTAAACTTTTTCATTTGAAGATCGGATCACTATAGCATATATCTGCTATACAAACTGAACGTTCGGAAACTATTTGACAAATCAACTTCAAATTTTCGAATATATACAATACATACAAGTATACATATGTACTTGTATATAGAAAATCGATGTTGTGCGACTCACAAATGGATTATTAGGGGTTATCCCTTAGATGTTACTCACATTTGGGGAAATTTCTTTTCATTTATTTATATATAATATATACATATGTATATATATAACACTTTGGACAGCCGTTGAAATATTTAATTGCGCTTTTCACACTTAAAAGCTGGAAAATTAAAAGCAATGCATATAAATGCATGACTAATACTAAATCCAAAAATGAAACTGAATTATATTCATTCCCTACCCCTACCCGCCGCAACGGCACTGTAATACTCACCAGCACTGTGCGTAGCTGGTATTGGCTATTTGACTGCTTGGCTAACTGACTGTCTGACTGGCTGGCTGGATGGCGCGGCCAACTCAACGCGCCGGCAATAAAGCGCTACAAAATATACCATCAAATAAAAAATCGTTTAGTGCCACGGGAAAATGTGAACTTCTCACTATTTAATAGTTATACTCACTTGATTGTTGTTCTTGTGCGGTTGATTGCATTCAATGCAGCTTTCACGTTGCTGATAGCACTCGTTATTGTTGGTATTTTATATTTATATAAACGTTCAATTTTTATGATATTTAAAAGCGCAGCGGACACTCGTCGTGAGAAGAACGCTATTGGCGCAGCGCATTCTTTTTCTGATTTTGTCTGAAGCTTATTTTGATTTTATTTTTATTTTCGTAAATGTATAAGTAAGTGAAGTGCGCTGTTGCAGCAAGTAAACTGTATTGCCTGGCAAGCATTTTACCTTAGCGCCGTAGTCTACAGCTAAAATGCGACTTTGCCTTAGCGCAAACGTTTAAGCAACTTTGCTGCTCGCTGTCAATAGACCGAATCAAGCCGAATATTTCTTTGCCGCCTTTGCTATAATACCTTTTCATGGCAGTTCATCGGCAACTTAGCTGGTAACGCCGAGCTTCTCACCTTTCCGCGCTATAACAAGGCGCATAGTTTGCTGAATGGCTTTCGCGCTCTGCCGTGTGCATTCGCACAATACACACACCTACAAAGACACAGCTATGTATTCGCATATCGCTTTTCATCTTGGCGCTGTGCACTTCATTGCATTGCTGCGCATTTTGCAGCGCCATAACTAATCCTTTACCGAGGTGATTTCCTTCTAAACGCTCAGATTTTATTCGAGCTATTGATTTTGAAAAATACTGCCAGCCCGTTAACTCCGCAATGCATTCCAATAAATTCTGCGTGCAAGCGCTCGTATTTAACGAGTCGCTGGCGTCAACGCTGGCATTGCCATGCGCTTGCGGTATTTAACGACGAATGGCAAGAATAAAGCGAAGCCTTAAGCTTTAATTGAAAAATAAAAAGAAAAATTAAAATGTGAAGTAATGAAAATATTCGCTTCCTAGCAGCGTTTAGATGGCAATTGTGCCGCATACTTGCGCTTACATACTATATATCTAAAGGGTGCCTTTTTAGGCAATTGTTTTTTTTTATTATAAAGATAAGAGATTGCGATTTTGTTTTAAAAATGATATCAGGCAAGTGTCCGCCATAGCTGGTTGGAATAAATTCCAGCCGAGAGGTCCAATTTTAGACCACTTGTAGCAATTGGGGCCGTATGTCGGCAATAATGCGCCAAATATTCTCTTCCAAGGCGTCAATGGTCTCGGGCGAAAACGAATAGCCAAAACAGCTGACTATAAATCAAGTAACAGCTGTCAAAAAGACCAACGCCGAAAAATTTATTTTCTCATTGAAAACCACGCGTCGAAAAAAACACCCGTTATATAAGTACATATGTATATATGTATATTGTATATATATGTACATATATTTATAGAGAGACATACATGTGTCTTGCAAGCCACCACAGCATGCTTACTGGAGCTTTCGGCTGCCTTAGAGTCCCCATTCCTTCTTGAGCTACTCAGCTTGTTAGCCGTTAGCATCGGCAGCGCTTTTGCCTAGCATATTTGCTGTGTTTGCGCACCTACCATATATGTACATAAGTATATTTGTATGTAGTTATTTACATATGTACATATTCATTTATTTGTTGACTCAAGCGATAATTTACTGCTTTGTTGTTGGCCAATATTGTTTGTTTGTTATTTGCTTGCTGCTGTCTGCTCCTATCCATGCTACACAACATTTACAAATTGCTCGCCAGTTTTATGGCTGTGGCAGGAATATAATTTCTGGTGTATTACCTGTTGGCTTAGTTGTTAGCTGGAGTGAGCGAAGGAGGTTCCTTAAGCAGTTCACTTTGATGAGTTGTGCTAGGTTTTTATTGTAGACTAAGTTAATGTACACAAAGGAATTTTGGGGGCATATGAAGCTTTTATTTGCTTTAAATACTTCAAATGGAGTAAAACTAATTTCAATATTTGCAAATGAATATATTTTGATGTCAAAACTTTGGATTGCTAAATATTATAATATAGGATTGCATCTGTTGCTTGTGAGATTTTGATATATTTATGTATAGGTATATCTTCATTTGGTTTAAGCATTAATTGTTACCATAAGGACTGTCACCTAATGTGTTCGGCACTCTCCGAATATGAAGTTTCTGAACTACTTAAGAGTTTTAAAATATTTAAATATTTAGTTCATCATCGGACAAACCTCAAACCTTTTTTCTCAACGCCTCATATGTTGAAATAGTTGCTAAGTAGAATCAATAAATACTTTACTTGGGAATAGATAATAATTCTTACATTTCATGAACTTTCTGTGTATAATTAAAGAACCAAAATATAAGATCTAGTTAGCACGAAGCCACTCTGATGGAAACTCTCGAACCCAATGGCAAAAAACTAGGTTAGTCGATTTTCATAAACGCATATTTTCACCAGCAAAACTATTCACAATAGACAGTAACATGTCCATACCATGATGTGGATGCATAAAACCATTCCAGCTAAGCTCCCGGAGCTTCTTCACTATCGACATGTGTGCCCTGGCTGTCCTAATGGCACACAATACCTTTCCTATTGAACAAAGCTGACCAGGTCTGGGTGATTGCCTACTTCCGAGGGATCAATTATTGATTAACAGATCCGAATAAACAGTTTGAGTGTAGGCGAGCAGCTCATAGTGGATGGGTCCCTGGCAATGCCATCAAACACACAGCAGTCAATCCCGATTTGTTCCCGACAGTTACTTGACGCTGTCGTCAATATCCCACTTTTCTTCACCAGTCGCCGCAGTATATCTTTTGTGGTATCAAAACAAAATTTATAAAACAACTTTTCACTTTCATTCAATTAAAACACAGTTTTCTTTCAAATCAAATTTTCGAACCAATTAATAAAAATATATGTATATGCATCGTAATCCCTTTTAGATAAAGATCAATCATAAATTGTGTTAAATATTTTTACTCGCTCCTCATATCTGTGGCATGTTTTAAGCTTATTCTATTAAAAGTTTGAACTTAATTCTTGTAAAGCTTTCTAAGTTCAACTGCATGCTTTTGCAACGCCAAAGATTCAACTTTCCTTAGTATGCCAAGCGAGATAACAACAATGAAGAAAACAATGGAAATGACAAAAACGAAAACAGCATCTAGACTACTTTATGTTACAAACTTATAAATATAATTAACTTCTTATGCTCGCAGAATGAGAACAAAACTACACTACTCGTGTACCACAAGAACTTTTGCCAAACTTTATACCATGCTTGTACTCATGTAACTACTATGTGTATATGTACTAGTATGTGTGTAGCTCATATGTAGTCCATTTAGTTAGCACTGTAAAAAGTTTACATTTTGAGGCAGAAAAGTTATTTTTTTTTTGTATGTGTGCTTTACATTTGTTTATAAACTTCAAATATTAACTCTTGTGTGTGTGCATGTGTTTGCGTGCTTGAGTCGGCGCGCAATCCGAGGAAACTTTAAAATAAATCAACTAATTTATGGTAAAAAATTTCCAGAATTGTGAAACTCTTGAGCGATGTAGAGAAAAAACAAGTCAGACTCGCTCTTAATAAGAAATCTACAGATATGTAGCTATTACAAGAAGAGTAACAATTTTATTGTTTAATCCCCACTTTTTATTTTCGAATTGGTCGCAGCTGAAGGAGTTTGTTTTCGTGAACTCAGCCGAAATGCAACGGTTCTGACAAATGCAACTCATGGCACCAAAGCCGACACAGGCATTGGAACGGCATAGTTGGTTGTTGTGTTGGCATAGACTATTCGGCAAAGAAATGCGCCTGAGGTTACTGTTCTTTACTGTATATAAGTACAGATTTATTACAGTTCCGTAAATCTTCGAACGAATCGCTTCTCTGCTTTATGCCTAAGGCCAAAGTTTAATGACTTTTTTATATGACGAGGTACATATCTTCACGAAATTTGACAGGATTTTTCGTATAAGGATTATTATTTAGGATTAAATCACTATATCTTATAGCTACCATACAAACTGAACGATTAAAAGCAATTTATTGTATGGAAACCGTTTTATTTGTGAAAGATATTCTAGTTTCGCTGTCACCGAAGTTAACGTTTTTTATTGTTTTATTTCTTTCGAGAGCGTTGTTATAAATAAAATATATTATTTATATAAAACGACGAGACGATGAAACACTGAATAAAAAAAAATCAACTCGAAAATTCACATTGCGGTTTCATAACCAACTTTCTTCAATAGAAATGTACGTGTATTAGTTATACATATATATTTAGTTGCATACACTTGTGTATTCCACATTATTCATTTGCCGCGCAATTAAAAAGTTCACATGCCGAGCAAATTACGGCACAGCGCGAACATAATACCAGCCTCTACCGGCTACAAGTTTGAAAATAAGTAGGTAATAAGTAGTTGAGTGGCTAAATTTAGACACTAATTCGAGAAACATGCTCTGACAGTTGGCGAATAGCAACCGAAACAACCTTTTTTCCGCTGCCTCCTTTTGCTGTTTTCACAACTGCACGACGGCTGCCATGCCACACAAATGCTATAAATTCGAATATCCTTATGAAAAATAAATTTTTTTAAACCTTTTTGTTTTTGCTTGTTGTTGTGCTTTTGTATTCGCTTCATCGTGCTGCTTTTGCTGCGCTTCCACTGTTGAGCATATCATATTTCGCAAAATAACGCAAATGAGCAGAGAAATTTACGATGAACTTAAATTTTGTGTATTTAAAGCTCAAATTACCTGTTGCAGTTACCGCCAACACCGATCGACGGCCCTGACAAAGCGACCGGCACGCAAAGGTCCTCCAAACCCACACTGTCACACACACACACACACACACTCACACTCACACGCAAGGGTACAAACAATGCCTAGCTTTGCACCTTAGTTTGGGGCATAAAAAATAGCTAAGCAGAGCAGAAGCCGTTGCTGCCACACCGAACCGTCTGCCTGTCTGCGTTTCCATTGTTGGTTATAATTTAGTTCGTCCAATCGATAAACACGCCAGTGCTGCCTGTGCCACTGCACTGCTGCAACGCACGCAAAAAACGGCTCTTAGTCACATGCATAAACCAACTAGTTAGTTGCCAACCGCTATGTATGTGTGTGTGTAGGTGTAGTCATGCGTATCCTATTGCTATCGTCACAAATCGTAAAAATATCAAAGTTATTGAAAAAATGAAATCGATAACTGCGTACCCTATACCCCGCCCGCCCGCTCGTTTGGCATAGCCAAGCACTCACTCTCGCACACACATACGCAGTGATGGCAGATGCGTTCGGCATATCACATCAGCCGGCTGCCGGCAGCAGTTGGCCATAGGATATATGCTATTGCTATCCGCAGCTTTGTAAGGCGATTTGTTGCACCATAATCCGTTGCATGCATGCATGACTACCACCAGCGTTGCAACGATTTTTCTAGCGTGTTTTTCTCTCTACGCTCTCCACATACTAACATATGCATTGCTTTTTGTATCACTTTTGTGCAGCTCCGTGCTGCTTTTTCCCCCTCCTGCTTTGCAGTTAGCAATTTTG